CATGACCCCAGGATCCCTGTGAGAGGAGAGGAGCCAAGGGAGGAGGCGACAGGGCACTGGGGTGGTGCTGGTCCTCCTCGGGCAGGACCTCGGGGGCTGTGGTACAGGGGTGCGATGGGCCCACTGGGGTTTTGTCGTGAGAGGCCGGTGTCTCGGGCGGGTGGCTAGGCCGTGGGGCAGCCCCGGGTGATGGGCAGGAGCAGGGCTGGCTGGGGGAGGCCGGGTAAGCGGGCTGGCTGATGGCAGGGTGGAGGGTACGAGGAGGGTATTGCCGCTGCCTTTTTGCTGCCTTGGCTCGGCCCAGCCACACGCGTTGGGGGAGCCATGCTGAGCCCTACCCCTGACCTGCAAGGGAAACCGGGGAGCGACCCTGCTCGTGCACTGCGGGGGAATGGGGGGCAAGAGGTGAGCCTGCTCCTCAAATCCTATGCCCACTCACCAGTGTTTTTTATATGTTCATGGAGGGGAAGCAAGGTCAAGTGCAAATCTTAGGAATGCCATATTTTTGGTGGTCAAAATGAGGCCGTTCCGTGCAAAGGTTGGGAAGTTGTGCTTGTGTCCCAGCTCCCACAGCGACGTTCGGCTGGTCACGTCTAGGTGCCTGAGGGAGAGCTACGTCAAACCAGAGACCCGAATCCTCTCATCTCTGTATCCCCCTACACCTTCCTGCCCTGGCATCTTTCTGTTTCTCAAGTCAACCAAAGCCTTTTAGCCCTGAGCTTGCTCTTTTTATCCCAAATCCGCCCTTAATCCCACCTGTTCCACTGGGTTTTCAGAAACCTGAATGCCTCATTAAATCATTTCCAGGGAAAAAGGCAGTATGAGTTCAGACATCCGAGAAATCAAAACCAATTTCTCTTTTCTTGCATAGTTGTTCTAATCACTGGATTTGTATATATAAAAAGCAATGTTCTTGAGCCTATCTTTGAATGTCTGTTTTTTTTTTTTTTTTCCCAAAACTCGGTGAAATTTGACAGTATTTAGTGAATCTGAGTGTATGAAACTTCAAAAGTAACCTTCAGAAGTAAAGAATCGAAAGTACAGTTGGGAAAAAGTATACTTCAGCTTAAAAGTAATAATTGGGCGGGGGGAGGAAGGGAATTTCCCTGCCTGATAATTCTTCAGAAACTTTGATAATTAACATTATTAGGCATAGTTAAACTAAAAAATAACATGCTTTTACAGCAAAGGCTTGCTTTCTGTGAAAGGCAGAACCAGGATTTTTTATTTCCCTTTCTTGGGAGCTCTTCTTCATTTTTCCAGTACCTGTCCTCAGGTTCATTTTACATGCAGTTTAATATTTGTAAAATAATAATTTCTGAGCATTCTGTGTTTGGGTTTGGTGGGTTTTTTTTTCCCCCTGTAAATGCTTCCCTATGCATATAATGTTTTACTGATTCTGCCTCCCCTGTTGAAGGTGGGCTTTTTAGAAGTTTTGGGTTTGTGTAATTGCCTTTGAATATCTGTCAGATTGTTTTGCTTGCGTATTTTTCTTCTGCTTTATTTTGGTGATTTTTCCAAAACTTTTGCTTAAAGAGCCAGCAGCTGAGTCATAAGAGACTGTCAGAGTAACGGTCTGTTCAATACTCTCTTGAAAACCAAGACATGGTTCTTTTGCTCAAACAGGTACGTTGCCTGTGATCATGTGAAGGAGCGTAAAAAGGAACTGATATTTAGGTGCTTAAATGCCTTTAAAAATTACCCTCCAAAGTGCCACAGTAGAGCTGTGACTAAGGTGCTTAAAACCAATGCACAGAGCCCAGTACAGGAAACAAATGCTATCAGCTGAAAGGGCTAGACAAGGTGAAATTTGCCCTTCTGAATACTTGTGATAGTTTGGGCGATGAAACATTACTTTTACTGAACAGGGGAGTTTTGCGACAGCTGCCATTTGGGTAATTTTAATCATGTTACCGAATCTTCTTGAACGGGCCTATCTGGAGTACCCTGGCTAGGTGGAGCCGTTTCTGTGGAACAGAAGGTTCATTTATTAACTTAGCCATGAAAGGAAGCCAGGATGTGCTGTCAAGCTCCATGTCTGTTACCACACTTACAGTACCTGTGGTAATTCAAATACACCAAAGCTGTCGCAGTAATCTTACTCGTTTTATTGCCATTCCAGCTTTTTCGTGATCAAAATATCTAATACAAAGACAAATCCCGTGTTTCTGGGTGTTCTCCCTCTTTCTGATCTTTCTGTGCCTTTCTGCAGTCCTTCTGTCTTGGCACAATATTGTTGATGGGACAAAGAAGTGGACGACAGGAAAGAAGCAAGAAACTAGAGCTGGCGCTAAGTGAGACCATGAAGGCAGGAACAGAAGTACAGAATAATAAAGAGGAAGTCGAAGAGCCAAAGGCCAAAGACCAGAGGCCAACATCAGTCTTTGGCGTGGCAGACTTAAAAAATGGTAATAATGTCTTGTCTGTTCTTCACTCTCCTATTCTCTGTTTTTAATGCCTGCTGTTCCATTCTCTGTCCTTAGGCGTCATTTTCTCTTACTCGTTCCCTCTTCACTGAGGAATATACAGACAGTTCTCATTTTGCCCTGCCAAGTAACCAATTTAGTTTTTGGGAAGGGATTACATTAGGATCTCAGAGCTTTTACCCCTTTTAAGTCCTCAAATTGTCCATGGCAGTTGCAAGATCTAGATGCTGGCCCTGTCTCTTTCCAAACACAGCCAGTGTTGCTCCTGGATTTGCTAAACCATAGATCGGGCCCTGATTGTTCTGCAGCATCACTAGATTGGCCTCTGAAAAGCTGTCACTAGTATTTCAGGGGTACGTACTGTTCTGTCCCAGCTCCAGCCCACCCTCACCACCAACTGTGTGCATTTCAGAGTTGTTCTGAGTTTCCAACCCATGTCTCTCTCCCTTTGGTGATGACCTCAGAATTAACACTAATTTCTGATCACGATGACTTGCACCTCTGTGGGGCACAGAGCATACTGTCTTTTTGTGTGCGGTGTGAACAGCTGTGACTTGCTTTTTCCACTTCTCTCCAGCTAGTTCATTTCTTTGAAACTGAGAAAAAGAATACCAGGGAGAGGCTGAAGGGGAAATTTAAGCCAGTGTGGTGGATTGCTAGCATGTGGTCCCACACATAGCTCTTCATTTTGTTATTAGGCCTGGCTGTGTAAAAGGCTGAATAAAAACCCTTGTGCAGCCAGCCTTTGTCTTCTGGGTTTTTTAATTTTATGTTTAGATGTGTTATGAGGGGTCTGAAAATAGAGGAACTGGGAGACATCTCGGTATCATAATCCAGGCTTACTTGGATTTTTCCTGTCAGTTGCTAAACAAAAATAAATGTTATCTGCTGGAGAAAGACGAGAGTAGATTGAACACTTTCTCAGATCTGGCCAAGATGCTGGGCCTATGCACAGAATGGCTGGATATGGGCAAGAGGACTATGTCACTTTCAAATAATTTTCACTTTCTTTTCTTGTACCTATCCCCAGACATCATTTCCTCTTTTTCTGTGCCTACAGGAGCTATTGGACTGTACAACGTTGGACAGACCTGCTGTCTGAACTCTGTGCTCCAGGTGTTCTTCATGAATATACACTTCACTGGCATACTCCGAAGGTTCGAACTACCTGAGATTATTTCCGTGGTTGCTCTATTCTCTCCGCTCCTTTTTCTTCTGTGGGATGTACATTTGAAGGCTTGGATCACCAGAGTGCTAGCAAGGTGCTTTCAGCTCGCTCAGCAAGGTCTCTGCCAAGGTCTCTCTGCAGACAGGGCCTGCAGAGGTAGAAGCTGCAGTTTTCTGACTTGTTAGTCATCAGGTTGCCCAGAGGAGCTGTGGATGGCCCCTCCCTGGAAGTGTTCAAGGCCAGGCTGGATGAGGCTTTGAGCAACCTGGTCTAGTGGAAGGTGTCCCTGCCCATGGCAGGGGGGTTGGAACTGGATGGGCTGTAAGGTCCCTTCCAACCCAAACCATTCAGTGATTCTATGATTCTGATGTGTGTGCTGTTTGCACACCAGTAAGCTGCAGTCCTGAACTGAGTCTTTATAACTTGGATCTCTCTTTTCCAGAACAGGTTAGGATTTTATTCTAGATAGGCTTATAGGCTGTTATAAGTGAAGGACGTGTCCTGTGTAACCATATCCACTGTTAACTTTGTAACTTTAAGCATGTAAACACAAACATATGGTGATCCATAGCCTCTGGCTCCTGATTGTCCTGGCTAGCACCCAACAGAGAAGTGGTGTTGCAGATAGGGAAGACATAATGTTATTTTGTTTTGCTTGACCGTGCCCTCTACTTGTTTAAGGAGGATTTGGGCTTTTGCCTCCCTACCAACCATGCTAATAACTGGTTTGATTTGTTTCCAGTTTACTCAGTTCCCTGCAGCTTTAATCATCAAAGTGGATCATTCCTATTCAATCCTCCTTTCTCCAGATTTCTTACACCCTTCCGGTGTGCAGAGGGGGAAGAAGGCAAGTTACAGACATGCAGAGATGAGAATTGTCCTAAACAGGCAAAGATAATAATGTAGACAGTAGGTTACCACTGTTATTTGCAGTAAGACTTAGAAAATCTGTGGGCTGCAAGAAATTTGGGGAGGATCAAGAGCTTTCCAGTTGGCGTATAGTTGAAGTACAAAGTGTTACGGCATACATGCCCATGGAATTTTGAGGATATGTTGAGAAAGAAAGCATGAACAGGTGGGAGGCAAGAACAGCTCTGAAACTGCTGTAACTGATGTTGTTTCTAGAGCCCAGAAAGCACTTCAGGTACTGCTTTGGTTTGCCCCTCGTTCAGGAACAGGCCAACGTAAAATTGTGGCCTTTTACTTTAGAACTGTCGCCTTGCAGTGCGTGATGAGTTAGTACAGGTTGTCTGCTTCCCTTTTTTCCCTTCTTTTTCTGAAAACACGCCCATTCTGGTTCTGCTTGAGTCGCTATCTGTGCTGTCCACCTCTGCTCCTTCAGGTGTGGTGTCCAACATTTCTCCATCACGCCCCTCGATTACCAGTCATGTTGCTGCTTCTCTCTATAGGATCACAGTGCCGCCACATGATGCGCAGAAGAGGAGGAATGTCCCGTACCAAATGCTGCTGCTGTTGGAGGAGATGCAGTGTGGCAAGCAGAAAGCTGTTTCTCCCCTGGACTTCGCTTGCTGTCTTTCAGCATACCAAGTGAAACGTAAGCCGCGCCACCTCATGCCTGCCACTGTCTGCAGACCAGGGCTGTTAACTGTCAAGCACTTAGAAGCAGCAGGGACACCTCATTCAGAGATTCGGAAATGTGAGGAGTTAGGCACAGGATGACGTAGCGCTCTCTCTGTAGCTGCCTCCCAGTCGTGAGCGAGATGCTGCGTCGTAGTTGTGAAGAGGGGGAAAAAAGCCCCCAGCGGATATCCTTGCTGATGTCCAAAGGGTGGGAAGACTCGGATTGCTAGAAGACTCAGCTACTGCTACCGGCCAGAGGGAAAGGGCTGCACAGGGCAGAGAAAGGACAGCTTATAGCTTGATTTGTCTTGCTATATTGGCATGATAATAGTGAAACAGCTGCCATTTCTTATTAGAAGGAAGGTGTCGTGTGTTCACCCAGATCCCCAAGGATAGAAACCGTATCCTTGCTCTTATTATAAGGGCAGACAGAATTTTCTGGCTTAACTCCCACCTGGGGAGATTCCCAAAGGACAGAGATTGTTAAATGCACAGGTGACCAGCGACAACGGGATACTGAGGGTCTGTTTATGTGTACAGATACACACAGTATATCCAAATGCCCTGATCTTTATCACGTGAAAGCCTAAACAGGACAACGCTGAAAGGGACAGATGGTAGCCAGCCCAGACCTGTATTAAGGAGGAACAGGAGATAACCTGAATATTTGTTCACATCATGTTTCCCCCTGAGACTGAATGGCTCTGCATTCTGCCTTCTTTATTCTGATTAAAGAGAGATGCCCAAAGCGAGTTTGTGAAGCTTGTTTGTAAAAGAAGGACAGTTTCCCACCTTGTCATTTGGCTTTAAAATTCAGGTGTGGTTCATAAAGTCCTATATCCCAGCCGGTGGTGCTTTAACTGGATCGCAGATGTGCTACTGGACATGAGGAAAAGTATATTTTCTAAGCTTCACTTAGTCAGGGACCTATGTAAGCTTACTAGAGCCCAGTTGAAGTCAAACTTCCAGGCAAGTTGAAAGCACTGCCATTTCTGGGTGTTGGATTATTCCACAAAATTTGTTTCACCTATGATCAAGCATAGAGGTAGTCCAAAATGCCAAGATTTTGCTAAACTGTGGGTAGTTTTTGCCCAGTTCCTAAACCTTGAGGTCGTCATGGACTGAAAACAGCAGTTCTTTGCATTCAGGGCATGGATTTGTTTTTTCCCCCTAAGCTGAAACAGTCTTGAAGTGATTCTCTGCTGAGCCCTTCTAAGCAAAGCTGTGCACTGAGCTGTATGCCACCACCTTGGGCTTCTATGCCAGTTTAGCCAGAGTGGAAAGCCAAAGCATAATGTTACATCATCATCCTTGGCTTCCTGTGCTGAAACTGTGTGCTTTTTCCCTGGGTAGGGATCCAGGGGTTTACACCATTCTGTGGATGACACATATGGATAGGCCTCCCTACCATTTTTATCTTAGCACACAGGAGTGTTGTAGCCTTACCAAGGGGTTGGGGAGACAAGTCTGTGCCGTAACAAGTGTGAAAAAGAGAACAGCATCTTCCCTGTATTGTTTCTAAGGAGGACTCAAATAAAAGCAACCCTCAGCGCGACACCTGAGCTCTCTCCTCCGTTAGGTATTGGGTATCTCTTGGCCCTGCATCTGGCGACGGGGACATGACTCTTGCACTGGGTTGTACCGTGGGGCACTCAAGCACTCCCGTCTTCGCCCACTGCTGCTCAGGTCACGTGGAGGAGACATGGCAGCCTGTCTCCAGCCTAAGCTCTGTCAGGGAGCGGCAAGGGAACAAGGGGTTGGATCTGATGGGGGACAGCAAATCTCCCTTTGCCATGTGTGGGAAATCTGTGCTTGGTGCTGTTCATGATACTGATTGAGGTTGTGTTTTCTGTTTGTCCAGTGTTTGTGCAGCATGATGCTGCCCAGCTCTTTCTGACTATCTGGAACTTGATAAAGAGGCAGATGAAAAAGCCAGAGCTGGTAAGGACAGTCACTGACATGAACACCAGGTCCTTTGGCCTTTGTCATGTGTGGTTTCCTCTGCTTCTTGAAGAAGAATCCCATTCACTGACACTTGTCCTAAAAATGAAATCTTAAAATTATCTGCTATTTGGATCTTTCCTTGAATCTTTCAGATGGGAGAGGGAATCTTGATTTCATAGGCTTCAGCATTTTGAATCACAGTTAACTTTTGTTCATCCTAATTTTACGTCATGGCAGGGACTCAGTACTAATGGAAGAGCTGATTAGTAACAAAAAGATTGATCGTTTTGCAACACTGAATTTAGTTACCTTGCATTTCTTTTTTTTCCCAAATTTCTGTAAGCATTTATTGGTGTGTCTTGACACAGCTCCTCAGCTCTTTAAAGTCAGCCATGTGCATTTCATTCTAATTAGTCACTGTTAGTATGTTACATACATGATAGTTCCTCCCAGGGGAGCTGTGCAAGGTGAGAGAAAAGTGACTCTTCCTCAACCTGCTGTCATAGTTGTCATAGCCAGGAAGCCTGGCTCCTGTTGAAGTTTCAAACAAAACAGTAAAATTCCGCATCAAAGCAGACATATAACTGCCTGATCCTGTTATAGAACGTGTCTTTCCCCTGTGCGAGGGGATGAGGGGAAGGAGTTCTTCTCCTTTAAATTGTGGGAAGAATCCTGTCCACGTAAGTCAATGTCAGAGCTCTGTTCAAGCCTTAAAGCGGTAACGTAGCATGAAGTAACGTGTCCAGGTGAGCTTTCCCACCCACAGAGGGAAATACCTCAGCTGTGTTCTTCATAAACCTTGTTTTGGCCTTTTTTGCCCCTCCAGGTTGAAGACCTGAACGATTTGTATGCAATCTGTGTACAGGAGCACCTGGCCTGTCAGAAATGCTCTTTTGAAACAAAAAGGAACAGCAGCATGTTAACACTTCCCCTCCCAGTGCTGGATTCCAACTCTCGCATCCTGAGGACTCTGGTGAGTTCAGTGGCAGCACTGCTTCCTTAGGAAGAAGATTCCCCTCTGTTCACTGCGGGAGCCTTCTCCTTGCAGCACTGGTGTCTCCTGGGACTCCTCTGCAATCTCTGCAGGGTGTGTAGGACTTTGAGGTGATCTTTTCTCATTCACATTTCTTTGTTTTGAGGGGTTCTAAATTTCTCAAAAATGTTGTTTGATTCGGAAAATGGAAAATAAAGTCCTTGAATCGCCTGTCTAGAAAGGGTATCCAATAAATCCTCTGTAAGACTGAAAGAATCATACTGCACAGTGATGTGTACCTGTGAGACCTTAGAATCCACAGTGAGGAGCCCTGGATAACTTGTAATCCCTGGCCAGGCACCCTGCATTTGCCCAGGGCAGTGTTCTTTCACTGTCCAATCAGAACTGCTGTTTGATACCTGGATAGAGGTGGCTCTGTAGGTGCTGCCACAGACAGTGCTTTTTCCAGGTCATACTGGACCACTGGACATTATTTAATCTCTGAACACTTCATATTGCTTCAGACTAAAGGAGCCTCTTTCAAAACCCCTAAAGCTTTGAGGTAGGTATAAAGGAGACCTGTGCATCCCAATATTTTCTGTGGAAAATGTGTTACTCTTCTTTTTTTTTCAACCAGTGTAATCACAGCAGTAGCTAGGGAAAATGAGGTACCTTTTTTTAGGCTGCGAGCCAATCTGTTGTCCTTTGTATAAAATGTGCTTTCTGTAGCTTTGCTGTTTGATTGTACCCTGTGAGACAAAGTAGAAACAGAAATCCAGCTTGAAAGAATTCAGTTGAAAGGAATCTCCTCTGTCTTCTTAGGAGGACTCTCTGCAGTACTTCTTCCGTCCAGAACAGCTGACTGATCACAACATGTGTTTCTGCGAACACTGTGGAAGGAAAACACCTTTTCTGCAGGTAAGCAGGGAATTATTTCCCTGTATGTCTCTTAGAAGCCAGAACTCCCTTTAGGACTGGGAAGAGTGGGGAAAGGACTCAACCATATCAGTTTAAGAGGAAATCAACAGCTCAGACGTGTCAGCTGTGTATAAACCACCTGCAGCTTTCTGATTAGGAAGATCCCTGCTATAGACGTAGCTCTGACAACAAAAGAATGCTTTCATGAGTTGTCACTTAAGTCACGGAGGGATGTAGGATTTCCGTACCAGCAGAAAAGCTTCTGTTGGTGGTGATGTGTTTCCACTGTGGGGCTTTACACCCCTGTGCAGCTCCAGGGGTAGACAAGAACATGTTGCTGGAGCTGTACATACACATAGAAGGGAGATACTGTAGGCTGATTCCTTTCTTCCCTGTTCTCTGCTTGGCTCCACATTTTCAGTAGCAGTGGGCTTTGCCAGCCGATGAATTAGCTGGTTCATGAAGAGGCAAGTGCATTGAAGGAGAGGTGTGTAAGGGAGACTGCCTCAGCCCAAGGCTTGGAGGGCACTTTCCGCATCACCAGTGTGCTGCTGCTGAGGCCACACTGCATCCATACGTCTGGGTGGCAGCCATGGCAGCCGCAGTAATACCACCAACGGCACTGCTGGAAGGAGTGAGTTGTCAGCTTGGTGTCCTCCACGGAGCTTGGGTGGCCACATGTCACAAGGGAGTTTCCACCCCACCTCCCCAGTGTTTGTTCCGTGGTTATCAATTGTGTTCGTTGTTGCTTTACAGAGCATGAAGCTTGTCCATCTGCCACAGACTCTGACCATACACCTGAAGCGCTTCTGCTTCAAAAAATCAGCCTACATTCACAAGCTTAGCCACTACCTGCCATTTCCACAGGACCTTGATTTCAGTGCAGTCCTGACAAAAAATCAGTGCCAAGCAGATGACCATGAAAAGGTGAGCTACTCCTAATGCTCTGCCTAAAAAGAGCAGATTTTCTTCTCTCCTCTGCTCAAGTCTCATAAAAACTTAAGAAATCAAACCAGTGCTTGCCTAAGTTTGAAGCATCTCTCTTAAAAATGTATGTCTCAGGCTTTCCCTGTGCTTGGTGCTGTCTCACATCCCATGGTTTTACCTGGCTCAGGTGTTATTCAACTTTCTGTGCTCAGATAAAATCCCCAAAGGCACCATAACCAGAGCTTTCTGCCATAAGGACAAATCCCAGGCTTTACCAAAAAAACCCCAAACCAATCCCTTTTTTTTTCCGAGACTGTTTAGCATAACTTTATCTTCCATTTCTAAATACACTAAAGAAAAGATGAAAACACAGTTCATTGGGGTGACCAAATCCAGACATTGTAAACAGTGTCTTAGAGGCAGCTTCTGTCCTGTGGTTCAGCCTCCAGGGCAAGTCAGCTTCAGCGAGCGGCAAAGCTACTGCTATGCAGAGGTCACCAGGCCAAGACGGGCACTCGACTTCTGGCCGTTCCCCATGCAGTGGTGTTTGCCACAGGTCGGAGGTTAGCAGGGAGACGACAGCTTTGCTGGGCAGCTGAGCATGATCTGCCACACTGTGGATCTGTTCCCCGTACTGAGAAATAACAAGGGAAAGCGTGGCAACAGCAAAACTTTGCTGGTGCAGTGTTGGCTGCAGTGTAACCCCTTTGCTGCCCCTTCACTCTCTTACTGCCTTTTTCCTGTTCCTGTGATCCCCGGGGAGGGTGGCAGCCCATAGCCGGCAGGCAGCATGCTGAGGGTAAGAGCAAAAAAGGCAGGATCCTCAAGGCCAAGCTAATCTTCCTCCTTTTTCCTTACAAAACACGTTCTTGCTGTCCTGGCAGCTGCATCTTCTCAGCCAGTGGCAAATGAGGATTGCTGCACTGAAAGTTTCTCTTTGTGGCTCTTCACAGGCTGCCTGGCAATATGAGCTTTTTGCCGTTGTTGCTCATTCCGGATCAACTAGCTATGGACACTACTGTGCCTATATTCGAAGTATGACAGAGTGTCAATGGTATTGCTTCAACGATTCTGAGGTGTGCCAGGTGAGGAGACAAATCCACATTTCTTTTGTAGCTTCCCAACACTCCTCTGGGTCTCATTCAGTCTGACTGATGACTGAGTTAGGAGAACCAGGAAAGAGAACTGAAACGGCAGAGCTTTGTGCACCTCGTCCCTCTGCTACAGCATACTCTGAGCTGAGGGCAAAGCAGCTCTGGCTTCTGTACCCAACGAGGCCTTAAGTTCTGGTTTGCAAGTTGCAGAAGCAGCCGTCCGCTGTATACCCTAGATCTGTTGAATGTTTGTGTTCAGAAGAGGCAAAAGGAACTGTTTTTCCTCAAAGGGTCAAAGCAATAAATCGATTTATAAAAAGGTGTTTAGTTCCTGGCAGTGCCACTTCTCTTACGAGAATTGCCGTGCTGGTGTGACACTGTGTCCACCTCTTACGGGAGTTTTTACCAGCCTCCCCTTGTGTGTTGTTCCTCTCTAGGTATCGTGGGATGATGTTAAATGCACCTATGGACATTCCAACCTCCTCTGGTAGGCAAAGACATCTCTCTTTTTACCTCACGCTGCTCTGGGGTTTGGAATGCAGGTAGCAGAGAGAGGGAAGACAAAGGGTTTGCACTGCGTATCTCCAGAGATGCACTGGGGATGCAGGAGAGTAGAAGGGGCATCCTTGTGTTGTGATGACTGCTGTGAGTGTATGACTGCAGCGGGGGCCTGTAGGGTTACCGAGCAGTCGCAGACGGGGCTGCAAGAGTGGTCTTGTTCCTTTGGATCGCCACCTGGAGCCTGTATCCTGGCTGAAGTAAGGTGTGTCAGTCAGGGTTCCTCCATGCTTTCTGTTTCACTGCATCATAAGAAAATGAGCTGTGGAGAGAGAATCCCTCCTGTGAGCTATAGTGCTGTCAGGGGTCAGCTTTCATGCTGCCTCAGGAACGCTGGAGAAGGCCAGTTCACTTGAGCGAGCCCCAAAAAGCTGAGCAGGAGCAAACCTGGGGGGTTACTTTCAGCCCAGATCTTCAAACAGACATCTTATTTTGCTTTTTCTTTGCTTCCACAGGGGACAAACAGCCTACCTCTTGATTTACATGAAAAAACATCCTCGTAGCCTTACCTAGGCGTATCAGAATGTTTCAGAAGCTGTGTGTTGTCTGTGGAGCTCAGCACCTCTGTGCCAGTGTGGACACGTACAAGCGTTTCACAAGAAAGACATTCTGCACTCAGTCAGCAACCTCTGCCTTCACATTTATTGATGAAAAAAGTGCAGGAGAGACTCAGCTAGAGAAAGGATCTAAGAACTGCTGCACCTAGAAACTTTTTCTTTCATATATTATTGATATTTATGTGATTCTATGTTAATTTCATCGTAAAAGATAGCCAAGTTGGTCTCTGCTGACTTACCGGTTCCTGTAATGCTGACGCCTGGATTCCCGTGTAGGGGAAGCATTTGGCCTAGAAGCCTGCATGACGTTCCAGGGAGGTGTGACATGTGGCTGGAGAGCTGGGATACCTTAGCCAGTAAGTGGGTCAGAGCTTGAGACTTGCTCTGCCCTTTCAGTGCCGTGTTAGATGCTGGCAAGCTGGGCAGGGGACCCCAGAAGTCTCGAGAAAGAGCTGGAAGGAGGATCAGAACCCTTATGATGCAGGCAGCAGTGATTTTACTCCTTACAACCTTCCTGGAAACGAATCATTGCAGGGGTTGAGATGTGTTGGAAGGTTGGTGTCAGCATGAGGATGTGGTTTTAAAACAGGAGCTGTTGCGGTAGTTCTGGTTTACAGGACGTTTGTGTGTATTTATGCATATGATTGTTGGTTTAGCAAGCTTATCAGATGTTCCTATGCTTTTTCTTTCCTGTATAGAGGAAACTGTTCCGAGCCACAGAGATTCTGAAGCTAGCTAGTGATGCTGCACGATGCAGCATGCACCGTGATGCGAGGAGAAGTGAGATGCCTTGATGTGCTTGAACTTTTGGGATTTTCCCTTAGTAATCTTCAGTTGCTTTCTCCCTTCCTTCTCTGCCCGTGAAGTAGAAATGTCCCTCAAACACGACGTGTTCGGGACAGAACAATTTTGTAGAGGAAGTGAGTAGTTTTTAAATCTCCTCGAGTCTTGTCTCTCTGTGCTGTCGGTTCAGCCTGTGCTCTCATGGCAAGACCACACAGCCAGAGGGAAAATGTGGAGAGAGGTAGAAAGGAAGGTTGGTAACACGGGACCATCAGAAGAGTGCTCTAGAGATCATCGCAAGGCTCAGCTGTGAGGAAGGTTAAAAATGTTGGTTGTGACGCTTTCAAAGTGCTCATTGTGTAAGTCTCGACATACCACGGTCTTTGGAAGGATTCCCGAGATCTGAAGGTACTTTCTCGCCTAACACAGTCTTTGATTCTGTCTTTACAAGGGTGCTGTTTTCATGGGACTGAGCAAATTTTAAAATTAATAATCTAATTATAATAGCAGCTAAGCTCCTGAATCCTGGCTGTTTTCTGTTGCTGTGTGGAAAGTGAGTTGAGACATCTTGGAGCACCGCTGTGAAATTACATTTCTATGAAGTAGCAGGGATTTGTTTCGCTGTACTGTCAAGGTCCATTATTTGGTTCAATTCTCTTGTAACTGTTAATTCTGTGTTAAAAAAGATAAAAATCCCAATCTATTTGTCACCAGGATGAGGAATTTTCACCCTATTTGCCTTCGGGAATGCATTCCACTTTTTCTAAAGCACCTGGAAGTGGGTGAATAAGAAAACCAGGTTCGTGTCTGCTTTATCCAACACTTGGCACGTGTGAAGCAGCTGAAGGACAGCGGCTTCCAGGAACTGAGATGTTAATGGGCTGTGGAAATGATAAGACATTTTTGGTTGATTATAACTGGAAGTTTAAAACCAAGCTGTGCTTATGAAAAATGTATGGTAGCTTTCCACCCATCACAGGAGCAAGTGCTGAGATACATAGTCTTTTCCATCAGCGTCTTGATGAGAAGTCATTGATGTTTTTTGAATAAAATAGTACGGCACAGGTTTCCTAGACACTAAGTCGTGTGGGTTGTGCTCAGTCTTGTTGCCCTGAACACCATAAATGCAGGTAGGAGGCTGCAGGCCACACGGACGGAGGTTGTACGATCAGATTAAGTATTCAGGCTAGAGCTCCTGCTGCCCTTTAGCTCCAACAGCCGAGGACAAACCTTCCCAGGGCACTTCACCCTCGTGCTGGGGACACAGCGGGTTTATTGTTGGGTTTGCTGCCATGTGACAGCTTGTCTTGCTTCCAGATCCCCACGGGCCATGGCAGGAATAGGAGGTGTGCAAACTGCTTTCCACATGGATTTAAGCACTCTGCCCGACCTGAGCCACCTTGGGCGCCTCTGCGGCCACAGCAGAGCTCGGTTGTATGCTGGACAGACTGCCCAAGGCTGACCTGGAGCTGAGGGCCGGGGGTGGGGTGCTAGTGCACCCATCCACAGTTACAGCGTGGTGTCTACCTCGCCGTGGGGTTATCTGTCCTGCGTTGGAGCCACTGTGTGAGTGGAGCCCAGCACGGGATTTGAAAGGCCAGGTAAAGCCAAGAGTAGTGTGTGGAGAGTCATAGAATCACAGAACGGTTTGGGTTGGAAGGGACCTTACAGACCATCCAGTTCCAACCCCCTTGCCATGGGCAGGGACACCTTCCACTAGACCAGGTTGCTCCAAGCCTCATCCAGCCTGGCCTTGAACACTTCCAGGGATGGGGCATCCACAGCTTCTCTGGGCAACCTGTGCCAGTGCCTCACCACCCTCTCTGGGAAGAATTTCTTCCTGATATCCAATCTAAACCTCCCCACTTTCAATTTAAACCCGTTACCCCTTGTCCTGTCACTACAGGCCCTTGCAAAAGCCCCCCCCAGCTTCCTGGGAGGTTGTGGTAGGTCATGGAAACTCCTTCCCATTTTTGATTTGGGATTACCACGTGTTAAGGGAAGGAGCAGTGGCAAAACACACATTATCTGCTTCACCTCTGCCAGACTCCTCCTGAGTCAGATATTCCTCACCATCAAGAAACACATGGAAAATAGAAAAAAACAAATATAGGTAATAAATACATATATTTTACACACACTAAAGTTGTAGAGATTCTATGTTGTAAATCCCTAAATTACACATGGAAGTAAAAGAGAAGCAATTCCTTGACACTTCAATCCCAGCATGATTTTAATTGGCAAGCGTCGCTCCGGAGCGAGTTACCGCCGGTGTTTACACACAGACGCTGCACGCCAGATCGACGTTTGGAAACCCCATGCCGGTATTTCCTCTGACCACACGGCGTGGGCTCAAAGCTCTGAGCAGAGACCCCAGCAAGTGCAAGTGGGGACCTCAACCAACCTTTCGAAGGTATTTTATAGGGCAGTTAGTTTTCAGAAGAGAGGTATTTAGCTCCGACTCCGCGCTGTTTCTCACGTGGCTGGCTTATGTTTTACCAGCTTCAAGTTGGCAGGCTCGGCGCTGTTCACACCTGCCTCTGGAAATGTGCCCAGGAGTCACCAGCGCTTGACAGGTTAAAAAATAATCATTTCTGACACACATGAAGTCAAGGAACTGGAAGAGAAATGCTTCCGAGCTAAATCCCGACTAACAAAAAGTCATCAAGTGTTGTGAAAAATAAAACAAGGACTTAAAACTGAGGGCAAAGGGAAGGAAGACCTTGATGGAGGCTTGAGAAAGGGTGCTCTGAGCTAATGGGTGTTTTCCCAAAATAGACTAATGACTGAAATTTCAGCTGGCAGCGGGATGCAGCTCGATTCCGTATGAAAATGAGCTTTGCTGTGCGAGGGAGCGCCGGAGCAGCGAGCGGCATAACCCTCTCCAGGTCTGCCTTTGCGATGGGCAGGGCGGAGGAACCGGGAGAACGCTCTCGCTGCGGAGGTGGCCACGCACCGCTGCAGGACCGGGGACACGACAGCCAGGCTGGAAAGCCCGCCTGTTGCCCGCCGGTGTTCGTTTCTGCAGCGAGCTCCCTATCCTTGCTTGCAGACCATCCGTCTCTGGTGACCCAGAGAGCCGTGGTCATTGTACACCTTTTCTCTATGTAACCCATTTTTCTCACAGATAAGGAGAAACCCACCCCAGGCCGTCAGCTTGTAGCACACGGAGCGATAAAACTGCGCGTTACACCTTGTTTCCAACGCCGGATGCGGGCAGAAGGGGGCTGGTCTTGTGGACCTCAAAAGAGTTCTCCTTGGGCTTGTCCCAGGGCTGCTGTGACCTGCGCTCCTCCATTAGAATCCCTGGATGCCGGGTTGAGGTGCTGATGGCTGAGGCCAGCTCTGGCTCCAGCTGCTGGCAGAATGGCCAGGCTGTAGGATGGAGCACCGAGGTCTGCGGCGTTAGAGCCGGGTGAGAGAGGTCAGGCTGCAGGTTGAGACTGGCACGAGCAACAGCTCAAGGATACAAGAGGAAAACTACCCGACATGGAAAGGTACAAAATCCTAAAGGAAGCCTGGCGCAGGAGGAGAAGAGTTTGGCACGGCTGGGCGCCCATTGCAGGGAGCAGCAGGGCGGGCCCCTGGCCACCTGACGGGTGCTTCCTGGCCGGCGGGACCGCGGGTG